TTAAATTAATGAATAGTTTGGTGAAATTTCCTTTTGTGACAACTTTGGACTTCTCTATGACAGACAATGCAAATCTCTTAGTTCCGTTTTAGTAAACTTTGCAATGGAAAATAGTTTAATAACTAATAATAGTCTTACAGTCCATAATCAAGGGATCTTGCTATCCATAATCAAAGGAACGTACAATCCATAATCAACCGATGATATAATAAATAATACTTTTGTTATTGTATCGGTGTTTATGATTTGTTAGCTGTAATTTTTAGCTACAGTTCAGTTAAAAATGCATTTCAAAAATTTTATAATAGAGCAACATGGCTAGAAAATAATTTCTATTCTAAGTTGAGTGGTAAGTGAAAGTTGTGTGTTGCGCGCACCAGATTTTTTAATATTACCCTCACAACTTTATATGGGTTCACGTTTTCATCCACTTAGGACGTGAGGGTTCTGGCAATGGTTGTTCATCCATGGCATCTTCCCCCTTACCGTGCACCACAATACACGGTGGGCCATGCCTCCCTACCGTGCACCAGAGATGGGACTATGCCAAAAGTGAGTACTGAGTCCCGAGTATTTTACTTAACTATTGACCTTCCGGATCTCATTACGGTACTCAGATATTCAGCTGGCCCGAATCTGAGTATTTTACTCAAATGTGAACTGCCCAACTTTGAGTATTTTACTCAAATAGCTGACCTGCGCCACTTTGAGTACTTTACTCATTTAAATACCGTATACCTATAATTAAATATTAAAGTATTGCATTCATATTTCATTATTGCATCAGTATTCTTTAATATAATCAAAATAGTTTACCAAAAACGTTATTATAGCTCTATAACTATGCCATTTATGAGTACTGAATGATGTAGAAGGCAGTAAGCATTTACACAAGAATCTCTTTTTCCGGCGATTAAGTGCATTTTCTGAGGAACCGTTTTAAATATTTTAAAAATTAGTCACTCATTTATAAACAGAAATGTATTATCCAGATGTTTTATTTCATTATTGTTGGCCGTTTATTTACAAACGACACTTGATTTTCAACATTAGTTTGGACGAATTGAATAAACTGACTTTACCAGTGTTTTTATTGCCTAAAACAATTATTTTAAGATATTTGTTCATGTTTTATTATTTTCTGACTATTCAGATTTAATAAAATGCCAATTATGACAAAATTGAACTAAATGCTGAATCTCAGTGATCGAAAAACTAACTCAAGTCAAAGTCGTCAATTCACGATGTTTGGACGCCATTTTTGGACAGTGCTTTCAATTTTTTTGTGGAACTATTGGCTTTTTTTAAATAAATAGTTGCAAGGAATACAATAATACGCAATTTATAGGGATGTAAAGGAAAGAGTTTACACGGCATTGATGGGCAAATTCCAAAGTGAGTCCACGAGTGCTTTACTTAATAGACCTGGAGCCAGGGCCAGAAATCAGCCTGATCGCAGGTGAAGGTTTGAATGTAAATTACGAAAGTATATGTTATTATAAGTAAAATGAAGCTTGTCTGCTATTCCAGAGCCGCTGCTTTAAAAAATGGCACTAACTTGTGGATCGAAACAGGAAATATATTATGAAAAATATAGGAAAAGTTGTTATTTTTTAACTTGTGTATATGGGTTTAAACATGTAAAATCCTAAATATCTAACTCGAGCAACCAAGGTAAAAATGTTTACAGCCGAAAAAGTCATATTTTTTTGTTTTTTCACACACTACTCCTATTCAGTGCATCGAAGCAAAAAATGTACTCTGTAAGAAATTAAAGAACATTAAATTGTGCGTCGAACGAGTACCTGAAATTAATTATTTGGTTAAGTGGTGCTGTAGAACACCACGGTTAACTAACACCAATTTTTACCAAATTAGTTAAAAACTAAGACACATTACTCTAAATGGCCCTGTAGGTTGGAAATGAGTTCCATAAGAGGAAAAACTCATGCAATCAAAGTTGCAGAGCATCAAATTCTGCGTCTACTGTGTACTAACAGTTTTAATAGGGATTTTAGGTCTCTAAAACCTTTTTTTAAATGAATATCTTTCGCTGATGAATATTTTAAAAAACGTGCTCAACATCTTATCAGTGCTAATGAATTAATTAAGGCCATTTCTGATTTTATAATCAATTAAGATTTTTCAATGCGAAATCCGGCCTATACAAATGCATGTTCAATGAAAACTTTACTCTTTAATTTATTTATTATTTCTCGTTTTGTTCATTATTACTTAATAAATAGTTTTATTAACTTAAACATTTTGGTGTGGTCTATCATTGCAAAGGTTATGATTTTATTTTACTTATGAATATCGTTTCATATTTAGGTTATTCATGCAATTAATTACCTTTGGATTTACGTTACCTTTCATTTCTCTGTTTACGTCATTCAACTTCTCTAAGCAAAATCATTCCTAAAATCCTATTTACAAAATTATATTTACAATTATATATATATAGTTTATTTACACTTCTCCAGAATGGGTAACCCAATGATGGTTTCGCCAGGACCTATTAGCTCAACGGAAGGGATGCTAAGTTAAAAACCCCTTTTTGCCCTCTGGAACGGGACAAATACTACCTGCCGTGTTTTAATATATGATATTAAGCGGCCTGTTCTAAGATAATCCAGGACCATATAGCCCCTATATCACTCATATTCCAAAATATGAAGGATCATTTGGTCAGTGGGCACCATCCTATAAAGGTGAAGTACACCTAATCAATACGTGGGATTCTTAGACTTTATCGGCAATTTTTCTTGCAACCATTTGTTTTAGGAGTCCTGATTTTTAATGTTCTTCGTGTAGTCAAAGGTTTCTTTCACTTTTCCTAAGAGATTACCTGCTTCATTATTATCTGTTGAAGTAGTTTCTTGTAGCTCTTCCACTTTGGCTTTTTCCTCTTTACTTTCTATATTATTATCAAAAGAAGTTTCCGATTCTTCAATTTCTTTAACCTTAGGTTCCATATAGGTTATTAGGTCTTAAATATCTTTGTTTTCAAGCTCTTCACTCTCATTTTTCATTTCTTTTTCAAATTTATATTTTCAGGTGACATTTTCTGAGATTTGCTATGTGTGACATTTTTATCTAGTTCTGCTTCTAATTTTTTTTTCTGAATTCCTTGTCTCTTCGTTTATTTTGGCTCCAAATTTTCTGATCCCCATTTTTATTTATCTCCAGTATTCTCCCCTTTCTTATTCAATATATCTTCTTGTTTTTTATTTATTTTGTTAAATCGATCCTCTTACGATATATATAGTAATATATATATATATATATATATATATATATATATATATATATATATATATAAATCTATTTATATCTATATATAAGTCTATTTATATATATATATATATATATATATATTTTTTTTTTCTTTTTTTTCTGTTGACATTAAAGACCATGTTGATCTTTTGCCGCCTTAACAAGTCGACTCAACTCTGCCTGCTGCCTGTCTTGGGCTATTTCTTTCCATTTATCTGCAAGCAGCTCTGTTGCGTCTTTGTTGATTCTATATATCCATGTGCGTTTTGGCCTTCCACGTGGTCTTTTGCCTTCTATTGAGGCATTCATTGTTACTTAGAGGCTTCCAGATGGGTTGCTATGAGCTGCATGCCCCGCCCATCTTAACCTCCGTGCCTTCATATCATGGGATATTGATTGACCATTTTCTGTTAGCAGTTCTTTGTTGGTTCTTTCTTCTCTATATGTCCTTATCAGAATCAGAATCCCAGATCGCTCCGGTTATCGTACGGAGGATTTTCCTCTCAAATCTTTCAACACTTTTAGTGTCCAAATCTCACAGCCATATATTAGAACTGGCTGTATCATAGTATTGTACACCTTTAGTTTGAGAATTCTTGAGATTTTTCGGGATTTCAATACTTTGAGAGGGATAAGAAAGCTCTGCGCTAGTTATATGCTGGTCTATTTCTGCCTGTTGGTCATTCTTTAAGGTTATTGTAGAGCCGAGGTATTTGAATTTTTCTAGTTTCGGCAATGATTTTCCTTCTACGCAGATCCTATTATTGGGTTGGAATTATCGGTTTATTATCATATATTTTGTTTTGTCTTCATTTACTTGTAGGCCGATCTGCTCTGTTTCTATTATCAGTGTTGTAGCGAGTTTTTCAATGTCTTCTTGATTACTTCCAAGGACAGCTATATCATTTGCGTATCCAAGAATTTTATGATTCGATCCGACGTGGACCCCTCCATTTTCCTGTGATGTTTCTCTTATTACCTTCTCTAGGGCTAAGTTGAACAACGGTCGGTGATTGTCCTTCCATTGAATTTTTCTTATGAGATATTTGTTAACCACTCTGGCTTTTGGGTCTGTTTCCTTACTTATTTAAGTTCTAAAAATAATTCATTTTTAAGCTGCCTTCTTTGATTTCGCCTTTTTTAAAGTCCCATTCAGGACCAAAATAAACTGCAATGGTCTTATCTGTAACCTTGTCTTATAACTTGAGATTTTAAATTCTTTTGAATGATAGTTGCCTGCTCTGATGATCCCTTTATGTTTAATAAAGTCCCAAAATTATCCTCCCTGGCCATTTTGAATTCCCCCTTCATTCTGCTTTCTCGCGATTTCTTGTTTTCTAATCTTTTGAATACTTTGGTTAGCTCACCTAAGTTTCTGAGCTTTTTTGTGATTTTCTAATATTGTTTTTTAATAATGAAATTATCACGAGCCAGTTAGAGATTCAGAATTTTCGACCATTAAGCATGAGAAGAAAGCGCTACTGACCGATTTGGGAAATGGAAAGCGGGCACCAAATACACTCGAGCTTCCACAACACTCGTGACATCCTTGGATACAACTTGTAAATATATGAATGTTTGTGAATTTAGATGCCTATTTTTATTTAATTTAAGTTTGTTTTTTTTTCATTTAAACTAAAAATGTTCTCTTTAAGTGAATTGCGATATCGATAAAAGTTATTTTTATTTTTGTGATTTTTTTCTTTATCAAATTATTGTTTTAGATATCTGTGCAAGATTATCTTTGAAGTGCATTGAAGCAAGACCAATGGAATCCAACAACGGACATTGCCAGGTAGATTTAATATTTTCTTCGGACTCGCCACCTAGTGATCCTAAGATCCAGCCTGTTTTGATTGTTGGACAGACAGTTAATCTTAATAAAATTGAGTACAATAAAGTTCAGCATAAATTGGAACCGAGGGTGTCTGAAGAGGTAAGTAGATTTATGATTGTTTTTGTAATTATTTCTGCGTCTGTGTTTTCAATGTTAGTTATTTTAATCAATCTATTTCAACATTAATGGTTGCATGTTACTGATGTTAGGCTTAAAGATGTTAGGTACCTAATTTTTAAAGATATAGGTTCAATAATCACTGATTCGTTTTTTTGTTAGTCCCGTAATTTATTTTTTAGATGATGATTGCTGTGTGCTGTAATTAGAGATTATAAGGCTGTTAGGAGAATCACGGTTTCCATGTTGTTCCTGGTGCATATACTGCCACTCAAAAGCTTAGGACCACCAGTTATTTTATTAAATAATTTGATGTTGTTGGGATACTGGTTAATAAATAAATAAAAGTTAAAAGTTCCCAAAATAAAAAAACAATTTTTATATCACTGTTTGAATAAACAAAATAAATGTTTCTTCTTCACAAATAAAAATAAACAAAATTCTCATATAGAAATGAATAAATGTCAGCTTTAATAATAACAATAAAAAATATTTACATAAGTTTAACCTTTGTGCTACTACCTCGTTGGCTGATGTTATTGTGTCCAACTTCTTTGGCAAAGACAAAGACGACAGTTGGCGATTTATATAAATACACTGACAGGCAAAAAATTCCACCCACTTGTAAAAAAAGTTGTATTTGTATATAATACATGGTATTTGTAGATAATACTTAGTATTTATGGAATTTTATAATATTTTTTTACCTTTAATAATCAAAATGTGATTGGTTAAGAAAGATTAGAGAAAAAAAAATTGAAAACGAACCATTATTATTCTAAAAGAAATTAATTACATCATCGTTTAGTAGCGCGTGTTTCCTCCTCTTGCCTTTACTACTTCTTGAAGACGCCTCGGCATACTTTCCACCAGTCGAGAAATGTCCCTTTGCTGGAGGATAGCCCATTCCTCCAAAAGAGCCCTTTCAAGGTCCTGCAGTGTATCAGGAAGTGTTGCACGCGCTCTGATTTGTCTTCCGAGGTTATCCCATAAATGCTCAATGGGGTTCAAATCTGGAGAACGTGCTGGCCAGGCAAAAACCTCAATATTGTTCTGTTGATAGAACGTCTGCAGTATGCGAGCGACATGTAGGCGTGCATTATCGTGCATTAGAATAGAACGATCGCCAATTTAAGGATAGGCAACACATGAGGTTCCAAAATCTCATCTACATAGCGAATGGCCGTCAAAGACCCTCCATGGAACAACAACCAATTCTGTGCGGCGCTCCATTGAAATCCCATCCCATACCATTAAGGAACCACGTTGGAAAAGTTGGCTCTGGGAAAAATTACAGGCTGCATATCTTTCGTTTCTTCTTCTCCACACCCTTTCACGCCCGCCTGGAGATCGAAGAGGGAATCTTGACTCATCTGTAAAAAGTACAGCACTCCGTTCGTCCGTAGTCCAATGGCTGTGTTCTCGAGCAAAAGCCAGCCGTGTTACTCTGTGAATTCTGGTCATCTTACTGGACGAAAAGTCATTAATCCATACTCATTTAATCTTCTCCGAGCGGTACGTTCAGAAATTTGCACACATCGAACTTCTTCGAGCTGATGAATCGCTTGAACAACGGTAAGGTGCCGGTTTCGTAAAATTCTCAAAGTCAAAAACCGGTCATCCCGTGGTTCTGTTACCCTAGGCCGTCCAGAACCGGACCTTCTATTGTAAGAACCAGTTTCCCGAAAACGCCTGACGGCGTCTCGTAAAGTTTCATACGGAACCCCGATGGCATTAGCTGCATATCTATTGGAACGTCCATCATCAATAAGTGCCACACCACGCGCAACATCCTCAGCACTAAGAGGCATTTTTTAACTTAATATTGAAAAAATTAAAAGCTGGAGACTAAGATATGTGCCGCAAGAAACGGCTCTGAACTAATGATACTGAATAAACATTTTGATTCCATAGAAAGTAAACATTGGAATCTAGAATCATTTCATTGAATTAAGGATTAAGGGTTATTGTCCTCTATATTAAAATTCCTAACAGAAAACAAACAAAAAGATTACCTACTTATTCATTAAAAACAATAGAACAATCCAAAGCAGAAATATTTTTAGATGAAAAAATCAAGTGGGTGGAATTTTTTGCCTGTCAGTGTAGTTAAAAATAACTTTTGCTTCATCTATGCACTTCGCGTGACTCACCAGAATCTCACGGTATGCAGTCATAGCGGCCGGCAAAGTCTTCACAATTGTAAATCTTTTATCCAGTTACTACAAGACAACCAAGTTCACAGCACTGATTTACTTATTCTCTTTTTTCTCCATTTCTACTATCTATCTTACTCGGGATTTCTTCTCTTTAATTTATACCATATTTTTATTTTTTATATCTTGTGTATTCCAGTGTTTTCTTATTATATATCCTGTCCTATACTGATTTTTCTCTCTTAAATCCTGTGAGACACATGTCTAGTGTCTTAACTGCGTGTTATGCGAACTCCTAATCCCTTCTAGCCCATTATGATGACACGATGAATTCCGAAAATATTTCACCCAAAACTTCTAACACATTACAGCGATTTCTGAAACCTGGCTCAAGCCCTACATCCCCTCCTCCGCTGTCTCCCTGCCTAACTACACCTTAATCCGCCTTGACCGGGAAAGCCGGACTGGTGGTGGTGTAGCGATGTATGGCCACGAAAGCCTTAAGACCCGAACACTTGACTGTTCTCTTCCATCCTATCTCCTACCCAAACCGAGTTCCTTATCCTTGAGATTTCCTGTAATGTTTCTCCTCTCATATATACCGTAATATATCGCCCTCCTCAAGTTCTCTTTGATCCGTCTTTTGAATCATTCTTCGTAAACTCTCCCTCTGCTAACCTTCCAGATCACCTCCCTTAACGATCACTCCCTTAACATCCTGTAACCCCACCTTTCCTCCTGGAACAGCGTTTAACGAAGACGATTTTTATTTCTCGAATATTTCACCCACAGACCTCATATCCGCTGTGATGAAATCACATTCTAATTCCATTGGTCTAGAAGGAATTCGTGCCAAATTAATCAAATTGTGCCTCCCTGAAATCTTCTCCGTTCTTCTTTTCATTTATAATGTCTCCCTTAGAACTCCTACCCCTTGGAAGGAAGCCATCGTCCATCCTTTAAATAAAAATTCTAACCCTACTCCCCCTGAAGTTTTCTGTCCAATCTCAATCCTCTAACCTTTCAAAATCCCTGGATAGTGCAGTCCCAAATTTCCAATTTCCTCGAACAGTCCAATCAACTTGACCTTCTCCAATGTGGTTTTAGACCAGGTTACTTCACACAGTCCGCCATAATCAAAATCATTAGTGATATTCAATCCGATGACCAAAAACTAACTGTCCCTGTATTCCTAGACTTTTCCAAAGCCTTCTTTGATACTATGAACCATCCCATCCTATTTTGAAAATTAAAATGATAAACCTTTTCTAACAGTTTCATTCTTCGGTTTCAATTTTCCTTTCAATGCACCCAAGCAGTCGCTATTCCCAATCAGCCATTGTCTTCCTATCTTACTCTGACCTCAGGAGTGGCCCAGGGCTCTAGCATATCGCCTCTTCTCTTTAGTTCCTACATCTACGACCTTCATAAATCAATACTTCAGTGTTCCCATCACCTTTATGCCGATGATTCCCAAATTTATTATTCCTTCTCTTTCTCAAAGTTACATGATGCGTTTGCCAAAATTCAAGAAGACCTTAATCGGATCACTGCCTGGGCAAACTTAAATGGATTAATAATGATGTAGAGATGGTTGACCGTTGATATAATATGAGAAGGAGTTGATCGGGGGTTCGGTCAAATAAATACTAAATTATACAAATAGTGTTATTTAATTTTTGCCGACATTCCGACCCACTTTGCAGGTCTTCATCAGGGCTACAAAAGATACAAAGCAAGTGAAAATAAAATAAATGAATATAAGTAGATATAAAATAAGAAGAAGTAGTCTGTTACAGAAATAAAAAGATGATATCAGAGATATAGTGGGTAAGAATGTAGTAAATATCAAGACCTCATATCCGCTGTGATGAAATCACATTCTAATTTCATTGGTCTAGAAGGAATTTACATAAAGCCCCAGAACCAGGACGCTACACCTAAACAAAGAAGAAGACCCGCTAAAATCGTGGACTCTAAACGTTTACTTTCCTTGTCGTAATCAAAACATTCTCCTTACCTGTCACCATTGGATCAGCATATTGCCCTCCTAACCTTTCCACCTCCTATGCCCAGTTTATCCCTCCCCTCAATTTCTTAGGATACCACTTCATCCTGGGTACAGAATTAAATACCAAGCATCAATGGGGTTCAAGAACCACGAATTCTCGTGGTCATACATTGCTGTCTGCACTCAATTCCCAACGTTTTATCCTCCTTCCACCCAATTCACCTACCTACTGGCCCACTGATCCTAAACATAATCCCAATATCCTCGATTTCTTTATCCACAGTAGTTCATGTACCCTCAACCATTCTCTTGTACGTCTTGATGAGCTTTCCTCAGACCACAGCCCATTAATACTCCAAGTATCTCTAGCTTCTATTCCTAAACTCTCCAACCATCCTTCATCAGAGGCCCAGTTAACTGGATACTCTTTTGTAAAATCTTTTCCGATAAAATTGACCTCAGAGTAACCCAGAAAACCCCCGAAGACCTGGACAATGCCGTTCATTTCTTTACCACTAAAATCCAGGAAGCAGTCTGGAGTGATAAATTTTCCATCTACTTTTTGCTCCTCTAAGAGGCAACCTGTTTCTGGAGTGTTTTCTTTATATCTTTTAACTCATCCATCAATTGAAGTTTGACCTTCGTTTCTCTAAACACTTTGGTTATCACCGTCATTATAGCCCTGGAACCAGGGATGCTAAATTTAATGCTCTATGACTTTGATTCAATGTATTTTTCCTCTTATGGAACTCATTTCCAAGTTAAAGGAATATTTATAGTAAATCGTCTCAGATTTTGACAAATTTGGTAAAAATCTGCATTGGTTGGCCGTGGTTTTATACCTTACCACGTAATCAAATCATAAAGTTTATGTACTCGTTCCATACACAAAATTTAACGTTCTTTAATTTATTATACAGTGCATTTTTCCCTTTTATGCATTGTTTAGGAGTTATAGGTGAAAAACCAAAAAAATATCGAGAAAATCTGATTTTTTTGTCTGTTTTTCTCACATTTTTCGCAATGGAGTTCCCATTTCGATCCTCAAGTTACTGGCTTAATATTCTTTAAATCAGCTGCTATTGTTGGAAGCAGTGGCTCTGGAACAGTAGACCAGGTTCTTTTTACTAGAAAAACATATACTTTCGTAATTTACATTCAAACCTTTGCCTGTGATGAGGTCGATTTTAGTTCCCTGGCCCAGGGCTAATAGGCCAATCATTGTAATAGGCTTGAAGGGTGGTAATTTCTGTGTTGCTAATTCACAATAGAGACAAATGGACATTTTTTACTAGTTTCTCTTAAGCCTATCAACTCTCTTAATACCAGGTCTCAACATATATATCCCCTCCCATGAAACTACTGCCTTCCGCAAATCCTTTTTCATTTGTGCTACCTCCTTTTGGAACTCTCTACCTACCTCCATACGTCAATCCTCATCCACACATTCCTTCAAACAACTTCTGTTCCACTACCTACCTCATATTCAAACTTCCGCAAACATGTTTATGCTTTTCTGTTTTTTTTTTATTTAATTGCGTCTGTACACTGTTTAATTCAATCAACTGCACAATTACAATTACAATCAATATTTAATTAGGCATAATTTTATATTAATCTAAGCCAGACTAAGACTCATAAATATGTAACTCTGTTATTATTCTTTGGAGACTGTAGTCCCAGAATAAAATTATTTTTTCATTCATTCATTCATTTCATATAGTGAAACACACGATTATGTAATGGAATATGGCTAAATTCACAATTTATCCTTGTCCCATTACCATTAGATTCTGGGTGATTATTTTTTCTCACTGTGACCAAAAGAGCAAGATCTCTTATGACCTGGGCATTAATCTACAGCTATGAGCTGAGATTAGCCTGCTCATTTGCCACCTAAATCACTTCATGAACTGGAAATGTCAAACCATTTCTAAATCTGCACCTAATTCTTCTTAGTATACTCTTTCCTGAGCCATCAAAGTTGAATATATGACAATAATGTATATGTATTAAAATTAAGTCACTTATCATCTACTCATGTTTCTAATTATCCAAGCTAAAGCTGTTGTGGACGAAATTGTTGATGCTGCACCTCAGCATTTTTTATTCAGAGCTGTTGGGGTTCAATTGGAGTTCAAATTTAGCTTGTGGGGGTTGACTTTTATTTTGTGGTAGACTCACTTAATAAATCTCAACTTTCACACTCTGGCTTGAATGAGTTGGTGATAAATGAGTTTTTGCCATAATATATTAGGACCTAAACGTAATAAGCTACAGGAAACAATTATTCAGGTATTTATGAGAGGACTTCGTGGGCTTCATTCAAGAACTGGTGACTCAGTTATTTCACTATATCTGAATAGTGTAACTATAGCAAGTCTTCCTGCACGATGCTCACGTCATAATGCACCAGCTCGTCCTCACTCCCTAGCATCTTTGGTAAAGAATGTCTCATCTGGGAAATCAGAAACAATAATTGTAAGTCATAATTTGATAATTAATTGTTCTGGATTTTTTTTATGTTAATTAGTTTATTATATTTCATGTTCTAGATTGTATGTCCCTACGCTGATGCTCTAGCTTCTGCATCGGCTGTTGCTCGTTCATATCCATTATTTTCTATGAAATCTCCAAAATCCCAGAAAAAAGTGGAAGTAAGGGTTGAATTCATCATAGTGGATTTGGATGGTAAGCAATGTGACTATGACCTTCTTCAGTCAGTGGCAAACGGAGTCCGTATGACAGCTTGTATTGTTGACAAGCCTTGCAATATGATGGGTGTCTCACATTTTTTACAAGTATTTCTTGTTTACTAATTTGCTGTAATATATCAGCAACAGAGATACAAAATATTTTTTTCCAGGAAATTGAAGCTGTAAGCAAGGAATATAATTTAGAAATGTCTGTATTCCGAGGAGAACAGCTTAAAGAGATGGGTCTAGGAGGAATTTATGGAGTGGGTATGTATCAAGTGTAGTGTTTTATTTAACTACATTGCTGTTTTTTCATTATTTATGTCTTATCTTAGACATTTAAATGTCATTGAGTCTTCTTTAGCAAGGAAAAACTGTTATTCCTAACAAGATTTCATGTAGCTGTAGGAATCATGACTGAACTGGGAGTTCCTGGTAAGTTGGTGAGATTAACAAAGGCACATACAAAGGACTCTAAATGTAGAGTCATAATAGAGAAGTGTCTGAAGCCTTTAAAGTTCAAATGGGCTTACGGCAGGAAGATAGACTATCACCTATGTTGTTCAACTTAGCCCTTGAGAAGGTAATCAGAACAACATCACAGGAAAATGGAGGGGTCTACATCGGAATGAATCATAAAATCCTTGGATGATATAGCTGTCCTTGGAAGTAATCAAGAGGACATTGAAAAACTTGTTAAGACTCTGATAAGAGAGGCAGAGCAGATCGGCCTACAAGTATATGAAGACAAAACAAAATATATGATAATAAGCCGAAAATTCCACCACAATAACAGGATCTGCGTAGAAGGAAAATTGCTCCCGAGAGTAGAAAAATTCAAATATCTCGGCTCCACAATAACTTCAATGAATGACCAACGGGCAGAAATAGACCAGCGTATAACTAGCGCAAACAGAACTTTCTTCTCTCTTTCAAAGGTATTGAAATCCTATGAGACCTGGAAACTAACCAGTACCCTAGAATAAAGTTGAAAGATTTGTTGAAAAATGTGAAGTTGAAAAATCCTCCGTACAATAACAGGAGCGATCTGGGATCAGAGTACTAACACATGGAGAAGAATGAACTGCTTACAGAAACTGGTCAAACAATATCCCATGATATGAAGGCACAGAGGTTTAAATGGGCGGGGCATGGTATGTAATGACAAAAAAAAAAAAAACTTTATATATATATATATATATATATATATTTATATATATATATATATATATTTATATATATATATTTATATATATATATATTTATATATATATATATATATATTCAACATAATATGATATTTATTGACAAATCTGATTGACTTAAATTGTACTATTCACTTTGTAAGGTTTCTACCTTTACATTTTAGCTATTATACAAATATTACATATGAAAACTAACAAATCAAATTTATATTAAGATTTGAGAACAATGTATTCCTATCGCAATCACTGTTACAGTTGATAAGGATATCACAACAAATGTCATACTGCACTTGTTTTTCAGAACTGCCACTCTCCAGAACTCGCCATTTGCTCTTCATTAAATATTTATTAAGTCACTCATAGATAATTATCAAACAATAATATTATTGTAAATTGAAACAGTCCTGTTACCTCCTTTATGTACATGATACTCAATGGATATATATATATATATATATATATTTATTTTATTTTCTTTTATTTATTTTTTCCATTGTCATGAATTTTCTCATTTCTCTAACATTTCTGTCATTGAAGTATTTCTCTTGATTCAATAAGTATTCTGTTCTATAGTTCTTTGCCTTGCAAATTTAGGTCATTTTGTTAATCATTTGCTCTACATTTATTATATTTTAGATTGGTGTATTAATTCATTATGTAATTTGATTCAAGCCACTCCATCTATTATAAGAATGCTTGACATTTCAGATTTGGCTATGGTTTTTCCAATTAAATTGATGAGGTAGTGTTATTTTACCATCCTTTGTATTTTGCTGCTTATGTTTTTCTAAGATGAAATTTCATTATAACAGATTATTTTTTTGCAAAAATAATCTATGCATGTCTTTTATGTAACTAGAACTGTTATCCATCCGTTTATGCTTTTCTGTTTTTTTTTTATTCCATCTGCTCTAGCCAGGAGGTTGGAGGTTCATATGCAGTTTAATTAATCCAAAGGTGATCACTAATCTTCTTATTATAATTATATGTTATTTAAAATAGTCAGGCTTTTCTCAATTTAATGGTGGGTGGTTTTACCATAAATTTTGTTGATTGTGCTTGATAGGCAAGGCCAGTACTGACCAACCAGCGTTAGCTATCCTGACTTATAAGCCTTCATATTTTTTTCCTGAAACAACTGTTGCATGGGTTGGAAAAGGAATTGTCTATGATACTGGTGGCCTGTCCCTTAAGACAAAGGTAAGCTTATATAATTTTAACTATTAGGTAATGCTGAGTATACATATTCTGCTATGATATTCCAGTAGTGTTTAGGACAGAATATAATATTTAAATAATTTACAATTATAAGAATAGATGTAATAATTACAATTATTAATGCAGCAGGCAATTGCTGTGCATTCAGGCCAATGATGTATATGCTTTTGTCACAGAGTTTAGTTAAACAACTTTTGGATGATATAGGATGACAAATAATGAGGATATGCAGTCATTTATGTTGTTTATTAAGTTTGTCATCAATATACCTACAGGAACTGAGGTAAATTGCTTCCATTTTCTACAATCCAAAAATCCTAATCAAATATCTTTTCTAAACCCGTTTCCCCACCCCTTTTTTCACAAACAACTAGCGCATGAAGAGGAATCCAATTTTCCTTCTCAAATGTTGTTCTAAATCATTAATTGCCAAGTTTATTTCAAAAAGTTTTAATAAATTTAATATTTATGAGTCAGATGAAAAATTGTTGTAAATTAAAAATTCTGTACTTATTATTCTATTTCTCCTGATGAACTAAATTATTATTTCGCTGATCCTCTTTTGTATTGTACTGTCTTACTGTATTCTACAAACATCCTTTGACTCTGAAAATCCCCCTTTCCCTAATATCTCCCGAGAAGATCTAATCTCATTTGTTCTTAAATCCAATACCATTGACTATGGCTTGTATTAAATTTCGATGAAAATAATTAAACTATGCTGTTCTGTCATCTTTCCTGTTCTTTTGCATATTCACAATTTTCTCCTGCAAAACTCCATTTTTCCAACAGCTTGGAAAAAAGTTATGGTTCACCTGTTGATGAAAGTCCCTGCTCTCTCCATAGTCTCCGATTTTAGACTTATCTCCATTTTTCCAATCCATCAAAACCACATTCAAAACTGGTCCACTCCCTGAAGCAAAAAGCTTTCCTTAATCCTCTCAAGTCCTGTTTCAGCTTCCATTATTTCACAGAATCAGCTTTGATGAAAATTTTTGCATAACCTTCATAGAAAATCTCTGTTTCTCTTTTATTTTTCAAGAGCCTTCAATGCAGATTATCATTAAATCCTCCTTTGCAAATTCCAAAATTTCTCAATATCAAATAGTGTTTTAAAGTAGTTCTATTCCTTCTTGTCTCATAGTTCCCAAATAGTTATCATTCTGAATAAACCTCCTCTCCGCCCCCTCCTAATAACACCTGGTGTTCCTTGGAAGTCCTCACTCTATAACTACTATATATATATATATATATATATATATATATATATATATATATACACTTTACTCTGTTTATATTTATAATCTTCCTAATGCCATTCTGCATTCACAATATCACCTATATCCTAACTACCTAAATAAGCCAGACTAATGTTCTTAATTATGTAACTCTGTTATTATTCTTAGGGGACTGTAATTCCAGAATAAAATTATTTTTTTCATTTCATTTATATATATATTTCTATATTATGTTAAATAATTGATGAGTTTTAAGGAAATTTATAACTGTTTTTATATTTGATTCGTCATTATTTAATATAATTCAAATATCCGGTCTAAGATATTATCTATTTAAGCTTTTGGTGTAATAAGGACATTCTTTGCAAAATAGGGCTGACAGTGAGAGAGCTATTGCACTATTGGCATGTTGGAGGTGGTTATTTAAATGATATTTAAACTCCTGTACCTGTTCGAAAAAATATTCTCCACTTCTAAGACCATTCCTTGCCCCACAATCGCCCCAAGAAGTCTTCATATATTTAGTTTTGACTTCATTAATATCGAGTCCGGCCATTTTTGAGGCCTGTTCACATTCCGCGAAAGCTCCTATCAAGAATGCACATGTGCGAACAGTAATGATGTCATCCGCAAAGGCAAGATGCTGTGTCAGTCGATTATAGATGGTCCCCCTCTAGGATTTGTTCATATGGCTAATGGCCTTCATCACTATTTCCAAACCAATGTTGAATAGCATGGGAGATAGGGGGTCTCCTTGTTTTAATCCTTTGTTGATATAGAAGCTACTGGAACTTTGTATTTTTACTCTTCCTTGTGTACTAATCGTATCAGTTTTTCTTTTGGAATCTTTTCTCATTGTGTAATTTTTCACACTTTATTATTCCCTCAAATAATTCTTTTTCTATTCAAAATCTAAATATATTTTCAATAGAAAATTATAAATCTTTATAAAAAAATTATCATGCATTATGTTTGACAATAAGAGAATGAGTACATACCTGTCAACTTCAGCTCCTCTTATTTGCTTAGTTAACAAGTTTATAAAACCAAACGGATTTTTTTCAAACTTTAAAATTTGTTGTTTTAAAATAAAATCTATCTTCCGAACTTTGTTTACAAAAATCTTACATAACCATTCATCCCATTTGTGAAATCTCTTCTATACTTTTTTTGACATTTCATCCAAAACTTTTAGTCATCGAGAGCTTTTAGTAAATCATTTAGAATGTCAAAGCTTCATATGAATGCATACATGCATACATTGCAATTCATATGAATTTTCAAAGAACAATTCGGAAAATATCGTAAACATAAATTAAAACAACAAGATCCTGATAGACTAAAAGCATAGTTAATACAATAAAATAACTTTAGATTGATGTAATATTTATATAATTTGTGATAAAATATGTCGTATCATTGAAATTTTTTAGGTTTCAGATACCTTCCGATTCCACATTTTATTTATTTTTTATCTACCTATATGACATTAGAGATAAGAAATATAAGTATTCTTAAATAAATAAAAAAAAACTGATTTACTTTTTATTAATTTTCAACGCTTATATTGTGTATGGGCGAAACAAAGATAGCAAGGAACAAGCCGGTTGCTATATGCTAGCTGGAGCGAGGATGGGATAGAAGATGTCCCATTCCAAACTTAAGCCAGAATGAAGATGGAACGAAACAAGCATTCTTGTCTCCAATTATTAATTGGGATGAAGATGGAATAAAACGAGAACTGGAACGAATTCCAGTGGTGGAACAGAATGTGCTGCTTTCTTCGAATGTAAGTTGTAATGGCCAAGCCCCAGTGATGTCCTTCCTTGATCTTCATCATCCAACCAGTCCTTCCTCCTTGATTCATGAAAAGCTCCATTTGTTCACACGCTAAATGACAGTCTTCTTGCATTATAACATCTCTTTTACTTTGGTTTTACCACATTAGTTGCAATATATTCTATATGGTCTTTATGAAAATGAAAGACCATTAATTTTTTGTTGATGCGGACCTTTTCAATGTTCAGTCTTCAGTAGTTTCTTTTGATCCCTCCAAATACCTGCCGCTCGTATATGGAAGGTATTTAAAAAAAAAAATTATCTTAGATTATTCAAGCATGCATTGCATCTAATGTTCCTTGCATTAATGAAATTATTTCGATATTTACATTATTCCAATTATTTTTACTTTCACTTACCTATATATGTAATATGCAGTAAGAAAAGTGTGATCGTGAACATTTTTTTTTAAACGGAAATTCATGTTTTCAGGTCTCTTTAGTCCAAATAACCAAGTCCCGCAAAATGGTCTGCGTGTGTGTGTATGTATGTGAACAGTAGCTCAAAAACGAAAAGTCGTACACCACTGAAATTTTATATTTAAGGCTTGTACATGCTTGGGATGTTACAACAACTTTTTAGTCAACATCGGCCCACCGGAAGTGCCACTTTATATCATTGATTTTACACATTTTCCCCAAAAATAGCTCTAGCAATATGGATTAAATTCATTATATTAATGTAAAATTAAGCTGTTTTTATTATTATGTAGGTCTTATCCTGATTATGTTCTCAAACAGAGTTTAAATGTCTAATTTTTTTTATTTCCTCTAAAGTATATTCATTTTTTTAATTTGAAATAATTAACTATTTCATATTAGAAACTGATAAAAAAAATGGTTATATATAATGAATGAAGAAAATTGATTGGTATCTAAAGGAGAAATAAGGGTTGGAAGCTATAAGGAAACAGCTGATAGTAGCACCTGTCGTTTGCCGATATACTTTCCCTTTTACAGATACCCGTTACCCCTCTATGCAGGGCTTACATGTTGTTAGTTTATATTTTATAAATCACTTATCAATAATCATGCTACATTTCGTTTTTTTATAAGTGTATCTTTTTATTTTAAGTTATTAGTTTAAAAAAAAAATTGTTTTAACCTTTATAATTTATGAATAGGAAAAAGTTAATATAATTAAGAAAAATAATGTTTCACTGTACATATTGTGTAGTTATTAAGATGTTTACTAGGTAATAGAATCGGTTTTAAGAATGATAGAATCTTATCAGCCAACCTTTAATCTGAGATAGCTGGACAAGCCCCTATATAAACTAGTATAAACAGTCGAAGACAGAGAGCCTTTGGAGGCTGTTGTGTGTCGAGCTCTGCTAATGGCTTCGCCGGATTCTACTTCTCATCAATCTGCTGAATATTAGATCGAGAGGATGCGATACAAAACCCGGAAGGGGATTAGATTTTGAGGACGAATGCACTGGAAATTCTACTCAGAAGAGGTGCTCCGGTTGAGAGGAATGGGTGCCGTATATTTAGATGAAAGGAGCCCCACTTTGGGCGCCAGACTGTGATAAGCTTTAAATTTGCCTCCAGCTCAGTGAAGAAGGGGTTGGTCATGAAGAAAAAGAGAAAGAAAGAAAAAAGGTGCAGACCTTGAAAACCTGGTATTTGTTTATTTAGACGATATTGTGATTGTGACCCAGGAATTTGACCACCATTTGTATCCGTTTTGAAAAAGGTTTTTCAAAGGCTGGTAGAGTCAAATTTAACTGTTGACCGTGAGAAGATTTTTTTTGTCGCTCAGAGCTCAAGTATTTAGGATACATAGTCCGCAGAAACGGTCTTTAGGTTGACCCTGATAAGGTAGCTGCTATTTTTTATTATTCAGCTCCTACTACACTAAAGCAAGTTTGGCGATTTTTAGTACCGGCGTCGTGGTATAGACGCTTTGTTCCAATTTTTTCCACTGAAATTCAAGAAATATAGGATTAGACGTAAGAGTTAGAGGATGTGGACACTGAGAATTCCGCGGGCATGGCATATCAGTTACCTAAATGGACCACAGGAAGAAGTGGTTAGGAATGGTTGAAGGGATGGTTCGAGGTGGTTAACCATGATTAGGTATGGTTACAATTTTTTTTTTGTTAAGCTCTTTACGGCTTCACCGGATTCTACTTCTCATCAATATGCCGAGTATTAGATTGAGAGGATCCGATACAAAACCCGGAAGGGGATTAGCTTTTGAGGACGAAAGCATTGGAAAATCGCACCAATTTTTAAAAAATATGTTGTACCATCTATGATTTTTACTTTCAGTTCCTACCATATTTTAATAGTTGTATTACTTTATTAATTGGGCGGCAATGACTTGTTTTGAGCCTAAAACATCGAATGATGAAAAGACCCATTTTTACTCAAAGTAGGGTAGGTGATAAGTGCTAAGAGAGCCTTTGAATGTTCTTTTGTATTGCATTCTTATAGAAGCTTTCTAGTTGTTTAGTGGATTGGTTTTAAACTTGCATTAATGTTACCTATGAAACAGTAATAAAGAAAACCTTAACTTCATATTTTCATCTCGACAAGTACATATCTCTTCTTATGGCCTATATATTTTTTTTTCTTCAAACCTATTTCAGAAACATCGGACAAAGCTCTTTCTGTTTTAATTTTACTTTTCAACTTAAATATACAATTAAAAAAATAAGATGAACAAGGACACTGGGGCGAGGTTTCTAGAGTGCCCTGTTTGCAACGTTGAGTTCAATTTCTGCCTGAGTCAGTTAATATTTATTTCTTGGCGGTCCCGAAAAATAAATCTTGACACTTCCACTCTAATTAGTACATACATACAGCAACCTCTAGCCATCAGAGATTTGCTAAAAAGCTAGGCCCACTTGTAAAACCAGTTCCACCAATTTACCAGTACCAGTGTATTCACTGCTTATTTAATTAATTCATGCTCAATGATGGAAATCAGATGATCCATAACCTGCTATAGTTTCAAAATAATTTCACTGGTATCAATTTTCATAAATTATTAATAGTATGATCAATATATAAACTAAAAGATAAATAAAAATAACCAAATAGTATCTGATATTCACTGGCATCCGAAAAAAAAAATCTTAGAAAAGATCAGCGGAGAACAAATAACTACAAAGGTTAGCTGTTCATTTTGAGGAAGAAAACAGAGGAAGATTCGTAACTGGGTAAGGAACATTTAGTATGCTTTATTGACTTGAAATCTCTAAAACTTTCAAATCAATATGAAGGCTGTTGATAGATTTTACAGATGTTAAAGTAAAGACATGAAACTATTATCCCATAAAATTCTGAACAAAACTTTTAAACTAACACTGCTACTCATAAATTTAAGACCACCACAATGTTTTGAGAAAGTTTGATATATTTTGATTATAATAATAACAACAATAAAAGACTTAGCGAACCCGAAGGTTCGATGCCAACACCACCAATTGCTTATTACACACCTCCCTCCACCGTTCGTCGTCCAAACCTAGTCCCTTCAGATCGGCTGTAATCTCACCTTCCCTTTGGTATACCCCTCGGACTTTTACCATTCGGTACAGCAAGTATTAACCTTTCAGGAATTCTCTCGTTACTAAGCCCAACAATTGTACAAGCCCATTTGATTTGCCGAGATAAAATCACCTCAATTATATTACCCGGATACAGTTCACGCAATTCGTCTTTGTGTAGCCGTCTGAACTCTCCGGTTAATTCATCCTTTTTCGGTCCGAATATTCTACGCAATACTTTATTTTCAAAAACCTTAAGACGTTGCTCACCCCTTAGTGTAAGCGGCCACGTTTCGCATTCATAAAGAACTGTAGGTAAGATAATGGTTTTATAGATTCTAATTTTTAAGTTGCGGGATAAGAGGCGCGAGCTAAGTAGTTTTGTCACAGAAAAATAATAAGCATTTCTCGCCTTCAGCCTAACCTTAATCTCCTCTTCAATTTCGTTTTTTCTAGTTATCGTAGACCCTAGATACTAGATACCCTTAACTTCTCTACGTGTTCAAACATATCATCTTCTATATTGATATCACCTTCTATGTATATTGAGAACACCGGAATTATCGCCATTTTTGTAGCTAACCATATATTATCTCTTATCTGTTTTTATTTTGAGCCCTAGTTATTTCCCGGCTTTCATTAATGTTGTCGTAATCAGTTTTGCAGTTTCCGTGTCTTCGCTCAACAGAACCAAATCATCCACATAGCCAAGCACGAGAGTTATCCCACCAAAATTCAACCCTTTTTCGGTACGCATTGCCTCTCTCATGGCACGTTCTAGTGTCAAATTAAACAAAACGGGTGGAAGGGAATCGCCTTGTTTTAAACCCAAACAAACCAAGTTTTTCAGATAAATAATTACCGGTTATAACTCCATTTAACGTTTCCGTCCAGCACATGCTAACCAGATTTACTATTTATTTTTGTTGGAATCCCCATCTCAATTAAAATAATATACAGCTTCTGGCGGTAAATAGAGTCGTAAGCTTTTTTAAATCGATATACAACACCGTTGTACTCTGTTTTTCTTTTCAATATTTGCCATAAAGAAAATATTTGATAAATAGTTGAACGGTTCTGTCTTAATGTGCATTAATAGTCTCCGATAATTTCCTCGGTGTATTCCTTGATTCGATTAGTAAGGATTAATGTAAATATTTTTTAACATGCCGGAAGGATGAGATTTATCTATAGTTACCACAATCCGTCCTCGAGCCCTTTTTATGGATCAGAATAAGAATAGATTCTTTCCATTCTTCAGAAAATTTCTAATTCTTCCAGATCTTTTTAACCAGCAAATGTATTTTAGAAATTCCAGCTTCCCCGCATGTCTTAATTAGTTCACTAGGAATATCATTGGTTCCCGCTGCTTTGTAAGATTTTAGAATTCCGGTAGCTACTTCAACTTCCTCTTTACTCGGTTCTTATATTAACGGTTCAGCACTCTGGTATTCAGGAGGAGGACCCAGATAATTATTTCTCATATTTATATTATTGCCAAAGTGGTTCTTAAACTTATTTAATATGTCTACCGGATTGGTTAGAATATTGTTATTTTCATCCCTAATTCTAGATGTGATAGACTATTTATACTGCTTAAATTATAGATGGGCTTAAATTATACTGCTTTGCTATGTTGTATCCGGACATAATCTATTTGATTTCGTGTTTGCAAATCCGGTGATGTCCAGGTGCATTTATGAATATCTGTATGTTTAAACGTAGTACTTTTAATTATCAGGTTTTTCGAGGTGGCAAAATTTATCAGACGGATCCCATTATCATTATTATATTCGTGCATAATTTCATTACCAAAAAAAAACAACTTCTTCCCTTCCCACTATTTCATCTACAACTACTTTTCATGTAGTTTCGCGGTAGTTTATCATATACTCACTCGAGTTTATCATAAAATTCGCATTTGACTTCATCATCACTGTCTTTGGCCAGACAGTGTAGGTTTACTAGACAATTTTAAACCAACGTCCCTGAAATGTGGCTTCTAAAATTCTATCACTAAAGAATTGTATGTTCCTGAAAGCGGAATTAATATTTATATTTCGCAGAAGCCTTCCCCCAAAAAACTAGAGGCATTTTTTTTTTTTTTATGATTGCTCTAAACTAAGTGTTATACAATCCCAATATATTAAATTTTATAATTATAATCCACGTATTTCAGATACTGAATGTAAAGGCATGTCAAGAAAAAATATAAAAGTTTTATCCCTAAAAACATTATTATTCTTGCAAGTACAATTAGTAATGGAAAAAAAAAAGTTATCCTCCAAAGGTAAATCCTGAATCCATTAGTACTTGTGGCTATTTAACAATGTTTGAACAAGGAGATTCCCAAAACCATGGTGATTCCTAATATTGCCAACCATCCCCCTGACAGATTTTCCGGACCAGTATTTTTTTCAACAAAAGTTTAATGGAAAGTATTTTAAAACTCTGTGGAGAATATCGGTCAGTGTTGTCTATTTGGCATAAAAATACTAAATGTAATCCAGTAGCTCATTCATGAAAATCCATTTTGTAAGGAGCTCTGTTTCCAATCTGTGACTGAAATTGATTTTAAAATTTCATATTGGTAACTGGTGCTACTGATAAGTTTAGAATTTCTGCTGATTCATCCCCTATCCCAGGGATGAAAATCCCATCAACAAATGACCCATAGATCATACTGGATTTTGAATTTGTGGAGGGGAACTTTAGACAAAGGATTTACTTATTTGCTTTATTTTATTATGTTGTGACTTTACCAATTTTGTAATAGACTATGATGCCTGGAATGAAACGTGATTGTGGAGGTGCTGCAGCAATTCTGGGGGCTATATGCGTTGCTGCTAAGTTAGGTAGCAGTGCATGTATTCATGCAGTGTTCTGCCTAGCAGAAAATTCTGTTGGTTCAAATGCTACCCGCCCAGATGATATACATGTCCTGTATTCTGGAAGGTAAATATCTTAAGTTCGTTTCCTTTTAGATTTTAATCTTAATCATCTTTCCTAGTTTATTAGTAGTTAGATTTCATTATTTCATTAGTCATTAGTTCATTATGAATTTAAGAAATTTACCTAAGAAATCAACATTATTTATATCATTGGTTTATTGCAAAAAGTCAAGTGCATTTTTGATGTAGGTTAGCTTTTAGAAGTTTTAGCTTTTGAATTTCAACCTTATTTATGAATATAAATGCACCATAAAAATCTAGAGGTGGCATTGAATGGTATGTTACCAACTGTTATGTAAGTGTTAACATGTATATGTAATGTACGTGCTAATAAATTCTTTTCAAGTTACTTACTTTATCAAATTATTTAATCAAGATCATATCAATTCAAACATATGGCTACTACAGTTTGACCAGAACTCTGATAAAAATTTGAACTTCTCGGGGCAAGATTTTTTTTTTTATTAAAGAGACATTTTATCTCATATTTTAACATCAAATTAGTTGTTTTTTCTTCCTACTGAACAATTTTTCAATATCATCAATATATTTTGCAATTTAATCAAAATATTTAAATGAAAATTATTAACCTTAAATCGCTGTTATATATAGTACTTAGTAACTAAATAATCTATCACTACAATATCATTATTGAACTTCTATCGGTACATTTTCAATATAGTAACTTGCCATTTACCTTCACGAATATATTTTTTTTTATTATCAATCTACTCAGGTTGACTAATTCACAATTCTTAAACATATTTTTCTTTTTATCAAATAAATTAAAATATTTTAAAGTTTCTGTCATGGATTCTGAACAATTCAAAGCATTCCTCAAGCTTCAACAACATATGCTGTCCCAGCTCGTGGCAAAGATTCTGCAACCGCAATCAACCATTTCAAGGTTATACTGAAGGGTTAAATGCACATATGCCAGCAGTTTACTTCCAAATTTTGATCCTTATGACTCTAAAATGAATCATTTTGTAATTATAAGCAGAGATTCGAAAATTATATTGAGATGAAAAATGTATTGAATAATAAACAATATTGTTCTTGGGTTGGGAACCTCTGTTCTAGGGGCTCTAAAAATTATATAAATTATAAAATACACTTCTCCCCCTTCCGACGACTTTCTATAATGTACAACAGTCCATTATTTTCATGAATAATAGGTTTAAAAAGGGGATTTTTCGGGAAAGGAGACATCTCGAATTACTGGGAATGTACAGTATACCGTTAACATTCATTTTGTGCAGACCATTACTCAAATATGCTTTGCCTAAAATATAATAAAAAGTGTAACATGAGTATAGGTTGCAATAAGAGCTTACGTTACACTATAGGTTATACGTAGATGTACTCATTATTTTAATTTGAATTGCTAACAGCATTTATTAATATTTTTATGTGAACAGAAAAATTTACGTGAAACATCTAGAAAAACCGGGTGAAATCTGGAAAAGTCGGGAAATGTATGGTAATTTTTTGGAGGAGAATCGCTGAACACCATGATCTACTAGCTCTTGCGGATTATATAAAAATACTCAAAGATATAATTAATTTTCTCAGCTTAGGTGAAAATGTCAACTGATTTCGCCTTTCAATACATTAGGACATTTTTGGTATAATGGGAGATGTGGAAGAAATTAAAGCAGATTTGGATACCCCTGAAAATCATAAAAATGGATTAAGAAACTGCATTATTAAAAAAATGAGTAATTTTGTAGATAAACATAGAACAGAGATTAACTTATGTGGAATTATGAAAAGATGGAACAATGGTTTGAGAAAATTAATAAAATTTAAAAAAGAAAATTGGAATTTAATAGTTGTTAAGTCAAATAAGACTATGAAAGTGGTCATAATGGAAAAGGAACTCTACATTGAGAAAGTTAATGTAAACAGTCTTATAGAAGATGCAGAATGGATCCGATGGATGAAACAATAAAGAAGATTGATCTTTATCTTAAAAAATTAACGAGACTAGGATTTATAGATGATAGGGATTCTCAAAAATTAGTAAAAAGTGGGTTAGACATCCTAGATTATTTGGTTTAATAAAATTACATAAGCCAGTCTAAGTTTTTAGGCCTATCATAAATGGAATGAAAGATCCTACTTATAACATTTAAAAGTTTTTCAAACTAACACTAGATTTTATAAGAGAAAATAATAAATACGATGTGAAAAACTCAATAAATGTAAAGAACAGATTAAAAAATTTAAAAATGGAGAAAGAAAAAAATTGAATAAGTTTTGATGTTACATCACCTTTTACCAATATACCTTTTGAAAGTTGTATATTGTATAATAAATGAAGAATGGGACAAAATTGGACCATATACGGTATTAAAAAATAAAGAGACATTTATAGATGGGTGATCTAATTTGTGAGAGCATTTTTTTTTTAATTTAAAAGAAATATATTTCGACAGATGGGGAGGGGAGGGCAATAAATCTGGGTGGTATTATAATGAATAGATTACTAAAAGTTTTAGAAGAAAAAAGTAAGCTAAAATTAAAAATGTACATGTTAAATGTACATACGAAAAAGGATTTTCGGAGCATATAGAGGACAATAAAAAAATTTGATCTAGAAGAAATCTGTCTAGCGTATAAGCCTTATAATAAAATAAGAAATTTGTATACAAACATGAAAGATAAAATACCACTAGAAAAGCAGTCTGATATAGTTTATAAAAGAGAGTCTTTAGATTGTCCATATCTCTATATAGCAAGGTGTCCAATGACAGAGAATTTTTCATGTATAGGGAAAAAACAGAAATGTACTGGAATTTTTCAAAAATATCTTGATTTTTAATTATTATTATTTTTTTGTGGTCGTGCTCCTTTTTTTTCACAGTATAAACGAGGTTTATAACGGGAAGAACAAATTGGTGACTACGTGCTACTGTTTTCAGGAATAAACCACCAGGAATATGCAAAAGGCGGAGTAGGATGCATAATGTACAGGGATCTATGCACGCACATATAAGACTGGAGTGCCGTAAGTGAAAGAATTTTGAGTGTGCAATTAAAACTTGAACACGAAAACTGTACACTGTTCATTGTATATGGCCCCAATGATAATAATGCCAGTGTTAGAGGAAAAGAAAGTTTCTTTGATGACTTACAGAAGAGATTAGATGACAGTATGGGAACCTCCATCATTATGGGAGACTTCAATGGCAGAGTGGGAAAGGAGACCGATGGATGGTATGGAGTAATAGGGGGACATGGAGAAAACTTCAGGAATGACAATGGAGAAAGAATTTTAAACCTCTGCCTAGCAAACGGCCTAACAGTGGCGAACAGCTTTTTCCCTCACTAGGTAATACTAATACACTAAATCACAAGAGCAGAATCCTCCAGAAACGAAAAATCTATCATATATTACTTCTTGGTCCCAAAAGAGGAAATAAGGTTAACAAAAGACGTCAGAGTCAAGAGAGGATACGAATTAGGGACAGACCATATGCTGCTAACATTGGATATGCTTTTAGATGACTCAAACACAAAGAAAGAAAAGTCAAGACCTAGCAAAGCCACAAAAATAAATAATTATAAGCTTAGAGCACAAGATGTTGCAAAAGCATATAGGTCTGCAATAGAAGTAAAAGCAACTAGCAGAGAATATCTATGGGATGCTGACGATGCAGAGGAAAGCTGGAAAGCAATAAAACACACTGCTGGGAGCAGCAGAGGAGGTATGTGGAAAAGCCAATGTTGGCCAAAGAGTAAAATGAACACCCTGGTGGAATGAAGAAGTGAAAAGCGAAATCAAACAAAAGATGGAATTATAGAAACAGTATCTTCAGACAAAAAACATGGAAGATTATGCAAGATACAAGAAATAGTGGAAAAGAGGAAAGGAAAAAGTTTTACAGTCAAAGAGAAAAGCTTAGGAATATTTCAGAAATAAGTTAAGAGGAAGATGCAAAAGGAAATCAGAAGCTCTTCTATAGATGCCTAGGAAATATGCTGAAGGAAAAGGAGCCCTTTTTAAAACACATAAATGATGAGGAAGGTATTATTCTAACAAATACTAATAAAATAATGAATAGATGGGCAGACTACTTTGAGAAGGTGCTGAATGACAACATGGATAATTTGTCAATGCCAGAACAAAACATCAATAGAGATGTAACTTGAGAAATGAGGATGAGAAATATTTCATAGGAGAGGAAGAAATAGCAGATGCAATTGACTGCCTGAAAATGGGCAAAGGACCAAGAATAGACGGTAAAACCTCCAAAATGCTGAAGAATATGAGAACAAAAGGACAGGAAATATTACAGTATCTACTGAATTTGTTATGGAAAAAGAAAGAAGTTCCCAAATATTGGGGAATTTCAGTCATAATACCAATACATACAAAAAAAGAGACTACATGGAATGCCGAAACCACAGAGGCATCTCATTGCTTAGTGTACCATGCAAGGTATACTCTAAAATTCTAGAGAAGAGACTAAGAGGATGCATTGAGAGAATCCTAGAAGAAGAAAATTACAGTTTTAGACCACGAAGAAGCACCCAAGATCTAATAGCTCTCAAAAAAACTTGTGGAAAAAAATACAGCAGTATATACCTGCTTTGTGGACCTAACCCAAGCATTTGATAAGGTCAGAAAAACGGACATAAGCAAAGCACTGAACGAGCAATTCAATAAAGACCTAACGAGGGCCGTTCTTAACCTGTATAAAAAGAAAATAAGTGTGGTAAAAACCAATAACTACACCTCTTGGGAGTTTCAGGGCACCCAAGGAATAAGGCAGGACTGTAGTCTAAGCCCTTTATTATAGTGCTCAACATGGCACAAAGAGAGCTAAGGAAAGAATGAGAACTTTTAGGTTGAGCCACAGAGAGCTACGACCAGTTCATCTCAACTTCTGACATATGCCGACGATATTGTGGTATTTGGGAACAATGGAAGAAACCTCAAGAGAGATGTCAAGAAAATGGTGTATAAAAATACATTTGTCCCCATGTAGTCACTGACCCATGACAGTGATTCCTGGACTATAACCTTGAAATATAAAAGCCTTGAAATATAAAATCTAAGCAATGGAAATGCGGTTTTTGAGGAGAATAGAGGGGAAAACTAGAAGGGACAAAATCAGGAATATAACGATTAGAAGCAACTGGAGAAAACCAGTAGAAAATACAATAGAGGAAAACAGGCTATGCTAGTTTGGGCATGTCAAAAGAATGCAGGAGGGAAGAGTGGCAAAAACTATATATTAAGTAAAAGTAGAATGGAAAAGATTGAGAAGAATGCCCAGAAAGACCTGGGAGGGTTCAGTCCGGGAGGATTTCGACAGGAGAGGAATATACTGGAATAGACACGGTCACTTGGTGCAAGAGCGAGATAAATGGATCAGGCTCTACGAACAGGATCCTCTACACTGATCTACAGTAGAAGAGGAATTGATTACGATAAAAGAAGAAGATAAACGAGGTTATTGGTTTCTTTTCTATAATTATAAATATTTCTAAGAAGAATAACAGTTCAATTACATTTTTCTGTGAAAATATACCTTTATTTTATCTTTAAAGCATTGATGAATGTTCGAAAAATATTAGAATAAATTAATATTTATTATAAAAATGGAAGATTTACTTTCTCAGAAAATTATAAATGACTTTCAAGTTTCATTAAAATGTGGTGTGTGGATAAGTGCTGATGAGCCCTCTCTTCACTTTGTGGGGCAGCTGATTTAATACAAAGAAATTATTATTAGAACTATAAGGGACGAGCTTACCAACTTTTCACCCAAATTTGAGAAGTTATTCTTAAGTGCTAATCTCTCTATAATAATAAAGGTTTTAGTGGCCGTGTTATATTTTATTTTACATATACAAAGCCGGACAGACCATAACAAAAACACCAGTTGTACGGACCATATCGAAGACATCACACTTATTCTCAGAATTATTTTTCTCTTATTGTGGTTACAAATTGGCAATAACAATAATTATAATTATATAATTTTTAAGTTTCCAACTTCCTCGAACAGTCCAATCAACTTGACCCTTACCAGTCTGGTTTCGACCAGGTTACTCCACACAATCCACCCTAATCAAAATCATTAGCGATGTTCAGTCCGCCATAGATGACAAAAAACTAACTGACCTTGTACTCCTTGACTTTTCTACAGCCTTTGATACCATTAACCATTCCATCCTTTTCTCGAAATTAAAATCGTTATCCTTTTCCAACAGCTCAATCCTTTGGTTTTAATCTTTCATATCTCAACATACCCAAGCAGTCACTATTCCTAACTAACCTTTATCTTCCTTTTTAACTCTGCCCTCAGGAGTGGCATCAGGCTCTAGCATATCTCCTCTCCTTTTTAGTTCTTATATTAACGACCTTCATAAATGAATCCTTCACTGTTCCCATCACCTTTATGCCAATGTTTCCAAATTTACCTTTCCTTCGCTCCCTTTGAGCTGCATGATGCGTTTGCCAAAATACAAGAACACCTAAATCAGATTGTGCCTGGGCAAATGTAAATGGATTAAGGTTAAATGCTGCTAAGACTCAAGCCATTGTCATTCGTTCCAAACTCCTCAGTACCAATACCAACATTCCTCTCCTGTTCCTAAATGACCTGCCCATCACCTTCAGCTCTTCAGTTAAAAACTTAGGTATTTTAATAGATCAATCCATCTCCTGGAATCACCATATTTCCCTCATATCCCGACGTTCAATTTCTACCCTGAAACTCTTCTGTCACTTCCACCATCTCCTACCCATGTCCACACATAGACTCCTAGTATCCGCTCTCATCTTCTCCCAACTTGACTATGGGTGTGTAGTGTACAGTGGCCTGTCATTATCATCGGCACTTGGAGACAGACTGAAGAGAATCACGAATGGCTTAGTAAGATTTGTCAATGGAACCCCAAGACATTCTCGTGTTTCCCACTACTAAGCTGAGTTAGGGTGGCTCTTTCCCTCCTTCAAAAGACAATATTTCCTTGGCACATTCCTTTACCAAATAATCTATAATCATCGTCCGTCCTACGTGTACAATCTCTTTCAATTCAAATCATCTATCCATTCCTTCTCCACAAGATGTCGTACTTCTGATCTTTATACTTCTTTCCACAAATCTGCCTCATTTCAACACTCCTTTATTGTCTGCTCCACCACTTTTTGGAATTCCATCCCACTCAAAATCTGCCATGCACCATCCTTATCCTTATTTAAAACCCTCTTATTCCAATTCCTCCTTACAATTCAGTCAGAAGCTGTGTAGTTATTTAATATGTAACAAGGTTTCATTTTTCTCTGTACATCATTTATATATATATTTTGTTTTATGAGTATGGAAAAGATTTCCAGTCACTTTTCACTGAGGATTGTTTTTGTTTTTTCCTATTGATATGATTTTAAGTCTTAAAGATGTATTTAATCATCTACTAATATTGAATGCACTACTCTATATGTATATCATTTTTTTTTCTTTTGTTTTCTTCTATCAATCTACATCTTAGGATATAGATTATATAAGACTTTTCTAATGTTTACAATAATATTATAAGTATTAATTTCAACATATTAAGGTATAGATGTCAATCATTCATTGTGAATATTTATCTAATTTTTTATTATTATTTTTTTCATTACTACAATGTTTTGACAACAAAAGTAATTTATCGTTCTTTTCCAATTTCATTAAGTTATTTCATACTTTGTTATTTGTAGCAACTATTTTGACCTTATTGCTCATCTTTTTTCTTTAAAATATCTGTTTAGCTATGTAAATACTTCTCTTATTACTTATGTTTTATGAGAAGGAGTTGATCGGAGGGTGCGGTCAAATTAATAATAAATTAAACAAGTAGAATTATTTAATTTTTGCTGACGTTTCGACCCACTTTGCAGGTCTTCATCAGGGCTACAACAGATACAAAACATGGTGAAAATAAAATAAATGAATATAAGTAGATATAAAATAAGAATAAGTTGTCAGATACAGAAATAAAAAGATGATATCAGAGATAAAGTGGGTGACAATGTAGTTAAAATATCAAGTATTATATGTAGAAGATACAAACAAAAATGGAAAATAAGTATGAATAAAAGTAGAAAATAAAGGAGAATATAGCATGTAAGTTAAAAGTAAACAGATTGCAATAAAAGATAAGGAATGAGTGTGTAACAAACTAATTAAGATTACATTTGATAAATGTAGGTTAACATATAAAGAAAATGAATGTTAACGAATAAATAGATTGTAAATTGATTAAGTATTGATAGAGTAAAGCTAAAATAAGAATAAGATAACATAATAATAAAATATCAGTGGATAACAAGCTAGTGGAGGTTACATTTGGTAACAGAGGTAAATAGATAACGGGACTAAAGGTTAAGAAGTAAAGAAATTGAAACATTAAAAGGATAACATTAGTGTGATATTGTTAGGATAGATTATTAAGTATAAATAACTCTATAAGAAAACAATAATTATAAAAAGAGAAATTTAGAATGTAAGTATAAGTGTAAAACAAGGTTATGATGATAAAAACAAGTTGTACTATATATAGATGACAATTGACATTCAGTTTTTTGAAAGAGGTAATGGAATAGTAGGCTGCATGAAGATAATAATAAGGTGTATAGTTGAAGGATAGGTGTGTTAAGAAAAGAATCATCAATAAAAGTCAAAACGTACCGTAGGATGTAGCACTGCGGGAGGCAGTTGAAACACTGGCAGTGTGAAAACAGCTCTAGTAAAACTAAAAACATACACACGCATACAAATATATATATACACACACACAAACATATATATATACATACACATACATATAAACACAGATGCACATATACATATATTCATACACGCATATACATATATACACACACACATACATAACATGAAAAAAGTAAAAGGAACTATAAATGGAAATGAGAAGATTTGATTGAGGTTTATGATTGAGAATTTTTTTAAATGTTGATAATTTGGGAGTAGGCAAGAGAAAGGTTCTGTTTGTCTGTTTTTAAGTTGAGTGGTTTGTAGTCTAATTGAATGAAAACACTTTCCGTAAGTAGTCTTTTGTCATGGTTAGGTACTGTGGCAAGAATGGAGGTGTTGTCAAAGTCAAATGTGTGGTTTGAGGATAAGGCGTGTTCAGAGAGTTTAGAAGCAGTAGAGTTCTTGGAAGTTATTGTGTATTTGTGTTGTTTGATGCGGTCTTTAAGTTGGTTTTTGGTTTCTCCAATATAAGCAGAGTTAAAATTGGGGGTAGAGCAAGGAATGCGGTATACGACATTAGAACGATGTTGCAGAGGGATGGGGTCTTTTAGGTTGGAGTAAATATTGGCAAGTTTGTTGTAGTTTTTAAATGCAACTCGTAGGTTAGGGATGGAGGAACACAAGGATTTTTGAATTTATCAGAAAGTAAAGGGATGTATGGTAGATATCTATATAAAGGAATGGAGGGCAGATTTTGAGAACTAGAGAAGGGGATGGAGGATGAGAGGCGGGTTTTGTAGTCAGTAATAAGTTTTTTAATGGTGTTGGAGGGGAAGTTGTTAGAAAGTAGAAACACAAGACGCATACAACAGATACTACTAACAACTTCCCCTGCAACACCATCAAAAAACTTATTACTGACTACAAAACCCGCCTCTCATCCTCCATCCCCTTCTCTAGTTCTCAAAATCTGCCCTCCATTCCTTTATATAGATCTCTACCATACATCCCTTTACTTTCTGATAAAATTCAAAAATCCTTGCGTTCCTCCATCCTTAACAATAATACAATCTGAAATACAGATTACATGTAAATTACTGTTATAAAATTTGAGCAACGAGTAGTAAAATTAAAAGATCAATTGTGAAATTTATAAAATGGGGGTTGGTCCAGAGACATGGACAGGGGGTACACCCTAGTTTAAATTTAAGAAATAATTAACATTATCTTATTTATATAAAACTTGCTAATTGTTTTGTTTTGTATTTTTAGAACAGTTGAAATTAATAACACTGATGCTGAAGGACGTTTGGTTCTAGCAGATGGTGTAGTATATGCTGCTCGCAATCTAAATGCTGATGTCATCATTGATATGGCTACTCTGACTGGTGCTCAAGTAAGTCAAATTTAACCTAAATTTTACTCATGATTTTTTTCATCTGTGCATATTTTTCTTCTATTTAGAAAGATACATTTCATTTTGTATTTATGTATTGAATAAGATAAGGTGAGCTAAGGTTGGACATTAAGCTAACGCTACGGTTGGACATTAAGAGAAAAAACAAAAGTTACAATTTGGAAGTTTTATTGCATTAGTGACAAACTAATATCGTTTCCCCTTTATGTTCAGTAATTTATAACTTAACTATCGCATTAATAATTCCCTGACATGAGATAATATGATGAAAACCATCTTTTTTATATTTAGAGCTGGTTTGCCGGTATTTTTTGTTCAAACCTAACGGTATGTGCTGGACAGAATTAGGTAATTCTTGTAAATCCTAAGACAGCTGAAACATCGGTTTTTAAGTTTATGCATAGTTTCAAACAATTTGGCCCATTTCGCAAACCACCGAAAAAACAGATACACCCACCCCATTGTTAACAACTTGGTTTGAACTTCTAAAAACAATTTTCAGACCTTGTCCCAACCTATCGCCCCGGAAGTTATTGTTGATCAAGTGTATAAAGAGAAATTTCAGCGACAGTGCCAGGAATGGAGTGGAGCAGAGATGAATGCAGAGGAAAGGTGGAGAAAATTAAGTGAGTCTATCAGGAAGGTGGCGAGAGAGGTATTGGGAGAAAGGGAAAAGATTAAGAAAAGGAATCCTTGGTTTGATAGTGATTGTGAGAAGGCCCTACATAAAAGAAATGAATCTCGGATAAAAATGACCCAAAGAAAAACACGCAGTACATATGAAGCATACTTGGAAAAAAGAAGAAAGACTAAAAGAGTTATGCGTGATAAGAAAAGAACATACAAAACGAAAAACTCGAAGAGATGCAAGAAGTTTCTAGTTAAGAGCACTGAAAGACTACTGGGAGAGTATCAGAGTGGTTTTTGTCCAGGATAATCGACTACTGACCACCTTTTCTCTGTCAGGCAAATGCTGGAGAAAGCATATGAATATAATATAGACCTGCATCACCTATTCATTGACTTCTGGCAGGCGTATGACAGCGTGAACAGGAGTAAGCTATTGGAAGCCTTACAGTCACTGGGGATTCCTAGTAAACTAATAAGATTGACCAAAATGACTATAGAATTGACAAGCTGTATGATAAAAACCAGAGTGGGTATGTCAGATAGTTTTGAGGTTAACAGTGGCTTAAGACAGGGGACCCGTTATCTCCTGTACTATTCAATCTCGCTTTAGAGGTTGCATTTCGGAAAATCAAGACGAACCCTGGTGGTACCATCTATAATAGGGTCAAGCAACACATGGCATATGATGATGATGTTATATCAGGAAGATCTTAAGCAGCACTAGCCGGCGTTATAGAATAGTTCAAGCATGCAATTCAAGAGTTAGAACTTATTATAAGCACGGAAAAGACGAGGTATATAAAAACATCCTGACATACCAGAGAGAGAGGAGATACTGTTAAATTGGGAAAAGACACGTTTCGCAATTGTGATAAATTTAAGTATTTGGGTGAAGTAGTGACAGAAAACAATAATTTGGAAGCAGAAATAAAAGGCAGGATGGTTGCAGGAACTAGATGTTTCTATGCTCTGTAAAAGGCGCTCTGATACAAAAGTCTGCCCAGGAAGGCAAAAATAGTAATATATAAAATGGTGATTAGACCGATCGTTTTATATGGCAGTGAGACGTGGAATATGACCTAGGAAAACAGAAGAGCCTTGCTGGTTTGGGAGGGAAGAGTCCTAAGGAAGATCCTTGGAGCTGTTAGAGAGCCGCATAGATGGAGAATAAGAAGCAACATAGAGTTAATGGAGTTATATGGTGAGCTATAGTCAACCATTTCTCCACCATAAAAAATAATTTCTTTGACTTTATTCATTTGAATCATTTATGAATATCTCTCTAGCTTACTTAGATTTGCTTCAGTAGTATATTCAGAGTTAAATATTATCTGATTTAAATACTGTTGTCTGTAGAAGGCAAGGAATTCACAATCGCACAGAATGTGTTATTTCTTTTCTTCATTTTCTAGGCATAGAGGATTAATAGAATATTCCACTAAATTTATCTTGTTGGAATATTTTAACAAACAGGTGATATTTGAATATTCAAGTTAAATGAAATTTTTGCCTTTTCCTATCCTCATTTTTACAAACTCTCTTCAGAAATAATTGTACTTTTTCCTTCTAAATTAATGCACAATAGTCTCAGAATTTCAGGGTGTATTGTCCTAATCATCAGCACCACCTTGTCATAGGTTCAGGCATTATCTTTATCCAAATATTCTATACCATATTAACCCTCTCCATCCCTAAGTTAAGGATCCGGTCAGTATCATAGCTTCAGTTCAAACGGATTATAGAGTTTTAGGATTATAATTATAATAAAAAGGTTTATAGAGTAATTCATTAAAATTCCAAGTGTTATATTCCAAGAAAATTAAGTAAATCTCAAGTTTACAAATATTGCGTTTATCTTTCTGTGCACTAACTATAGAGGAATCTCACTCCTTTCATGTACTTATAAGCTGCTCTCTAACATTCTTTTTGAGAGAATCCTCCCATATTCTGAAAAGGAACTGGGGAAATATCAGGCTGGATTTCGACGAGGACGCTTAACCACTGATCAACTGTTCTCCCTCAGGATGATCCTAGAAAAGAGTATGGAGTGTAAGGTAGTCACCCACCATTTATTCCTGGATGTTAAAGCAGCATACGACCGCGTTGATAGAACACAACTATACTGTGCCTTGGAGGAGCTAAGTATCCCTCAGAAGCTTATACGCCTAATCAAGATGACCATGGACAGCTCGAAATGTAGAATATGCGTCGGTTCTGATGTCTCTGAAGAGTTTCAAGTGAGCAGTGGTGTTCGCCAAGGGGATGCCCTCACCTGTCTATTATTCAACTTGGCAGAGGGGAAAGCTGTAAGAGATTCGGGTATTCAGGCCAGTGACATAATCATCAATCGCCTGACACCGTTTCTTGGTTTTGCTGATGATATTGACATAATAGGAAGGTCTGAACGGGCTGGCTGAAGCTGCAAGACGAGTTGGACCAGAAGTCAACGAGAAGAAAACTAAGAATATGAGAGTTGGTGGTGATGTGGATCTGAACTCTCCATTTGAGGTAGGTTCTTTTAAGTTTGAGAGAGTAAAAAGCTTTATATAACTTGGGTCTGAAATACATAGCAAAAATAATACAGAGAAGGATCACGGCTGCCAATAGATGTGTCTTTGGACTTGGCCGACACTTTAGAAGTAGGTATCTCTCAAAGAACACCAAGCTAATTATATACAAGACCCTTGTATGGCCTGTTTTGACATATGGCTCAGAGGCTTAGAACATGACAAAAAGTGATAAGATGAAGCTGAGTGTGTTCGAGCGAGGAGTCCTCAGAAGGATCTATGGTCCAGTAAAGGAGGGTGATATTTGGAGGAAAAGAAAAAATAGGGAGTTCATTTCTCTTCATACAGACATTGACGGATTCACCTATATTAAACTTGCCAGACTAAGGTGGGCAGACCATATGGTCAGAATGAGCGCCTTTGAAATAACCAAGGTAGTAATAATTAAGGAGCTGCACCTACTAAATGCATCTTGCCCCAGCTGAAGGCAACTCTAGATGAATCTTCGGAATACCAAGGGACGCCTCTGTTTCCCATTTTTATGCAGAGTTGAAATGGCTTTATCCTTCCTACCGTCGTAAATATTTCCTGGCATCCTTCCTCTTTTAAGTCATCCAATCACATCGTCCTTCATACATCTCTGAGCTCTTTTAATTCAAATCCTCTGTTCATTCCTGTAATACTCGTTCCCAGTCTGACTTAAACATAAGGGCCCACCAAACCGCTGACAAATCTTTCATTATCCGATCCTCATCCCTTTGGAACTCCATCCCTTCTCACATTCGACAATCTAATACCCTTCCTACCTTTAAATCCCGCCTGTTCAATCATTTCTTATCCAGTCCCCATGAAATTGTAAATAAACATTAATGTAAATATGTATATGGATTATTAGCTCGTTCTTCATTATTTTTACTTCATCCTTTTTTTTTAATTGTTATTTTTTTTATTTTGATTAAAATTAGAACTGATTAACATGAACTGATTAAAATTAGAAAGTAACTTATAATTTTTTTATTTTATTACTATGACTGTTTAATTACTCTGTATTTTTATTTATGTATCTCTGAGGCTCCTTAGCCCATATTTATGTTTTTCTGTATTATTCTAAAGGGACTCCTCCCAGAATAAATACATAAAGTATTATTATTATTATATTCTATACTTAATGGTCGGGACACTCTCCTAGTGCATACCCAGCCTCTATAAAGTGGGTACTGTTAAAGTAATAATTAATTAAGGTGAAAACCTGGTGGTTGAGCGTGATCCTGCCCCAATCACCTCCCTGCACAACCATTGGCCTTGAAACAGTACTTCTTAACAAAGTACTGAACACAAAATCCTTCATGGGTTGTAGTGCTACTTTTTTTTTTTGTTAAGTATATATATTCATTCTATACTTGGAATTGTTTAAACTCATAGATGCCCAACTCTCAAATGTTGAGAAATTACTTTGGTCTTATAACAAGATTTTGTTTAGTAAAAGTATTATTTGTGTATAATAAATCATCCTTGTTTAGGGAATAGCAACTGGCAAATACCATGGCGCTCTACTCACAAATTCAGCAACTTGGGAAAAGGATGCTGTATCAATGTCATTAATATCAGGTGACCTACTCTTTCCTCTGGTTTACTCACCTGAGTTGCATTTTTCAGAATTTAATTCTCTTGTAGCAGATATGAAGAATTCGGTTGCGGTAAGATTTAATTAATTAAATATATTGTTGACCAATTAAATTAAAAATGCATTATTTCAGATTTTCTTTATATCATCGTTTAGAATATGAACTGTTTATGATATTACAATAGATGAATTATTTTTTGTATCAATATTTGCTCCTATAGGACCCTTTAATGTGAAATTAGTTCTAAGAAATGTGATTTTACTTTATTTAATATATAATTTTATAGATGTTAATGTTTGCCATTATTTTATGAAATGTTGTATAAGTCAAATATTTAACTTTTCATTTCTAGTCACTGATTTTCTGATGATCAATCTTTATTCCTGATATACTCAATACAATTAACTATCTATCATCTCTAATTTAGCTATTGTTAATTTTATGAAAGATCAAAAAATAAAAATGAGACATAAATTGATTATCAGGATATACTAGGAAATTTCCAACACAAAACCTTGAGTCTCTAAAATACAGGTAAACAACTAATCTGTCAACATTTTGGCAATTCAAGCATCATCAGGACAGAAAAAAGATCACATATATGCAGAACAAATACAGCTCAGGTATCTTAAGGGAATCTAAGATTGTGTGTTTAGTTTTGTTGAAGTTATGTACAATCTCTAGTTGACAGGGTGTCCAGCGACCGGGAATTTCTCAAACCTCGGCAAATAGGAAATGTATGAGAATTTTCCAAAAAAGTTGTGCTCTTTTTGTGACAATAGAAATAAGTTTCTTTTTTAGAATTATGCATAATATTGTTGGTCAACAATTGCTAGAAAAAAAATTGAGAAACTGTTAATAATACGTTTCTAATAAAAGTAATTTATTAGACATTGCAATGGTAGAAAAGAAAATCTTTATTTTATTTCAAACTGAAATAACTAGGATAAACGGTTCAGGAGGATAAAAGTATTTTATGAACAGAGCTAACCAAACACAAATAAAAAACCTCTGCAAAGTAAGGTTAGTTCCTCACAATTTTCATTGGTTACATAATTACCTATATCTCTAGGTATATCTTTAGGAGAAACCGTTTTTGAAATACAGTAATCTCTCAAAATTTGCGAATTTGGTAAACGGGAGTTTTCAGCATCAGCGAATGCAAAAACGCAGATGAGTTCCACACTTGTGAATTAATTGCATTTTTTAATATTCGTGATTACAAAAGAATCACGAAATAAATCAATTCCTATTACTTTATGTATGTACACACTAAACATGCTTATATATTTAATAGTTATGTTTTCACTCCTAAAATAGATGAAACGATAATTCAATATGTTGTTTGTTCGATTTTAACGAAACCATTTTTTTTTCATTAGTCAGTTCAAAGCCAATTGAATGAGGAATATAAGAAACGAACAAAGTTTACAAAGAACTTAGAAAGAAGGCTTATACATACTTAAAATTTAGTGATGTCCACGTCTTACCTTTTAATAGTAACCAGTTCAAAAAGATATGAATGTGACTTAACTGTTATTTATTAATTTTAATTGTATAATGGCTTTTAGTAAAATTGTTACTAGACGAGTTTTACTATATTCTTCAAATTTCTCCATCTGTGGGAGTTGTTTTTAAACTTTAACTATGTGTTTAAAACAATGTGTTCACAAGTTTGAAACTGAATTTTTTTTTGTAATATAATGGATAAAATTTGATGACACTGTTACCTACTTGGTCATTAGTTATCAACCCCTAACTTCTCTCCAAATTAGGGCAAACCGAACGTGTGGTTTTCGAGGAAAATATGTTTGCGCATATGTAAGAGAAACCCCCCCATCAACACCCAACTTTCTTCTAGCTTTGAGCCAAATCGAACCATTTGCTTGAGCCGTTTCTGAAATATACATGTATTGATGAAAATACATTTACGCATGTGTTAGCAAAAGTATGAAATAATAATGATTATTATTTTAAAATCATAATAATAAAATCATAATACTAGTAAAAAAATAATGACTTTATTAAGATATAATATTTTTGACTTCGTTTCCCGGTAGGAGACGGGGTGGCCGAACGGGCTAACGCGTGTGCTAACTATGTGTTCCCCTGCAACCAAATGATTGATAAACCGAAGTTAACAGATATAAAATATCTATGAGTTCGCGTCTTGGTGCCAGGGGGGATATTGACTCTGACGTTAATCCGCTGCCCGGGAAAAAAACCGTATTCTTAATTTTAAAACACTTCGCTGAATATCTTGAATAAAAGTTTGCAATTTATTACTTTTACTTTCACTTACTTACATTTTTGTTGTATATTTACTGATTCCTTGAGGTTTGTTAAATTGTATGTACTTTCCCTGAAATGAGTCATAGTATTAGTACTATTAATACACGTTTTAAAAATAAATGTTTATACTTCTTTATGTACTTATGTTTTAAAACTAAAAAATATACTTAATCTGTATTACATATGATGAATAGTTACCATAAACAATTAAATATTTAAAAAAATAAATCCTTTATTATCTCTGCACAAAGAAAGATGGAAAGAGTGAAGCTAAATTTTCTTTTAGATGACCGAAAATAATTGTTAGTATTTCGTTTCAAAATGGGGAAAACTGCAAAAGTGAACCCAAAAATCGAAAACACATTAAGGGATAGAGGAAGAAACAACCGAAATCTCTGAAAAGAAAACAAGAATCACTATTTTTATTTGGTAGAATGAATAATAATAATAATAATAATAATTTAGTAGACAGATCAAGAGAACATTACAAGGAACTGCTAGAAGGGGGCCAAATGCTGGGGAAATTCGAATGAGATTGTCCCCTAAATCTCAAGAAGTTCGTCCTGAAAGGCAATTAGATATTGGCATAATCCAAGATGTGAGGCACTTAGCAGATAGAAAGCTATTTCCTTTTTTGATGGACTTTTCTATAATCTGCCTTACAGTGGATAGTTCTAATGTGCAATTTTTGTTTCTGAATCCATATCGCTTTGGCAATGTTGAAAAGGAGCTGCTAGAAGAGGGTCAGAAGCTGGTGCAATTTAGGTGAGATTAAGGGGAGGTTTATTCTGATAAAGATGATTTTATCAGCATGGAAGAATTGTACGAAGCAGTTGGCAAGCCAGCTGTGTTTATCAATTATAGGAAGTGATCTTTATTTATAAGTGACAAACTAAATGTTTCTAGTCCAAAAAATTATCCTCTACATTGATCTAACGGTAGAAGAGGATTGATTAAGAAGAAGAATAAGAAGTTTTTCTAAACGTAGAGCATCTGCAGTATAGTTGGATAATGATAAAATAAAATTTTGATTAATTTATGATTTTTTTAAAAACAGAACTTAGCTTAGTTTAACCTCTCAAAAGTCCTCTTAAAACTTTAAATGGTTTTAACAATGAAAAATTCTACTATCATTTGAAGTAAATCTTATCTAGTTTAAATTACTGTGAAGTAATTTTTAATTACTTAAATAAAATAGTTCTTTAGTTATCACTTCCTATTCAACAAAAAATATGACTTACTTTAAAAAGCACAAAACTTGGATTTCTTACTTTTCTGCTGAAAATTGGCCCATTGTTTATATGAACTTTTTTGTAGCTCTTGAGGTTTGCTATCATTCCCATAAACAGTTCCTTCTACTTACAGAATACCCTGTATTAGAGGTTTCCAGGACTCCCATATATATGTTCTAGGGGTTCTAAAAATGATATAAAATACACCTCTCCACCCCCTCTCTTGAAAGCTTTCTGTAAAGTACAACAGTCCATTATTTTCGGGAATAATAGGTCTAAAAAGTTTTTTTTTTTTGAGGAATGGGGCATCTCAAATTCCTGGGAACGTACTGTATGTAGTTTGCATTTATTTTATTTTGCATAAAATAAAATAAAAATTGTAATATGAGTATAGGTTGCATTCAGAGCTTACATTACACTATAGGCAGCTGTACTCATTATTTTAATTTTTAATTACTTAATTAGTTACACATAACAGCGTTACTAATGTTTTTATGTGAAACAGATAAATTTACTTGAAAAATCTGAAAAACCGCTGGATACCCTAGTTGATGTGTCTTTTTGGACTTTCAATGTGAAATGTGTATTTGGTCTACATATGTGTTTTTTTTTGTACTGATGATGCCTGATGAATTGGCAAAACATTGAAGGGTTAGTTGTTTAGTTGTATTTTAGAGATTCCAATTCTTCCAATTATATCTTATAAACCTTATGATTATTTTTTGGAATTTTAGGACCGAGGGAATGCTCAACCTTCTTGTGCTGGTTTGTTTGTATTATCTCATTTGGGCTTCGACACATCATGTGATTGGCTACATATTGATATGGCTTCTCCTGTGCATTTGGTATTCTATAAATTTTCCCTTTTTTTAAATTTTATTCAATCCTCAGATTTATTTATCTCAAATGAATAATTATGAGAGCTATATTTATTTTATTTTCAGGGGGAACGTGCTACTGGTTATGGAGTCGCTTTACTGACATTGTTAGTAGCCAAATATTCTAACAATATGATGCTAAGGAACCTTGTTGAAACTTTGGAATAGTTTGTTTTTTAATATTTTTTTTTGTAAATAAAAAAAAAGAAGAAAGAAAGTTGAAATTAAGGCTTTCAAAAATATAAGTTTTGTGATGTTTAAAACATTGTATATTATTTTACTTTTTCACTGATAAACTTTGTAATTTTTTTAGTAGTTGGTTGGGCTGTTCAGTCATACAAGTAACAAAGTAAAAATAAGTAAATAATATTTTTATTTTTTATTTTTTTATTTAAGATATTTACAACTGTATCACAAATAAAAATACATTCAGTAAATGTGAATACAAGAATATAATAACATGAAACCAGTTTTTGAGAAACTACCCACTGGTAGCACTCTAAAAATGTATTTACGAAAGGAGATCTCGAGGCCATCTTCTTTTCAGACGCCTCGGAGGATTATCAGAGATCGAAGAGGAAGCAAGGTTAGAAACGAGAGGGTTTGGATGGTTATGAAGTTTATTATAGAAGGATAGGTATTTGGATTGGGCCAGGTCGGAAACATAAGGAACATTAAGGTTATTATGGATGATTTTATTTGTGACAAAGTAAGGAGTGAGGATTTTACGAAGGATTTTGGGTTATAAGGATTGAATATGAGAGAAATTTGATGGCTTAGTGGAGTCCTAGAGCTCAAATCCGGAAGTCCAAATAGGTCTTATTGTAATCATATATATGAGTCTTTTAAATAATATTTATTTTTATTTTTGCTGTCATTTCAGCCCAAAGTTTAGGCCTTCATCAAGGCTAAGAAAAGACAAGGTAACATAAATATGAGAAACTAGTATACGGTAAAAGTGATAATAAGTTGGTTAAAGGTATAATCTAATACCATATTGGTAGAATAAACTTAACATTAATAAATATATGTAAAGGCAAATATATGGTATATAGATAAAGGAAATATAGAACAACACAAATAAAGTTGGGAATAGAAAGTAGTGGAAGCAAAGTTAAGATATATAGGATTATGGTAACAAAGTTAGGAACTTATGGACTAAATAATAACGGTAACAGAGTTAGGAACTCATAAAATAAATAATTTCAGTAACAGAGTTAGGAACTTGAAATGAAATGAAATAAACAATAATTAAATAATGGTAACAACATAATGATATAAACAAAGCAATGAAAAATGAAAGAACAAAGAAATATTATGGAATAGTAATAGATAAAAATTGTAAGTGTTATACATAAAATAAATAGGGTGATGTAGTTGCTATAAATTGATATCGTAATATGTTAAGTGCAAGTGAGAAAAACGTAGAATAAAAACGAAAAGCAGAGAAATAGAATATGAAGTTATATAAAGAAAATAATAGATGTAATTTTTTTATTTATATGTATGTCCTCTCTTCAATATATCTACACAGTCGATCAATAATCCACTTTCATAAATTTTTATTACTACTTCTTTTAAAATCATTATTTTGCTAATAGTAATAATAGTTATAAACATGTTTAAAAGTTTATTGTCAAATTATTTCTATTATGTTAAGGAGATAAATATGTTTTCTAAATAGGTAAGTTAGGTATATTTTTACAATTATTTCTATCTTATGGTATTAAAAAGCTAAGATCTTTTTATTTTTGCTAAGTTTGTCTGTTTCTAATTTAATTATTTTGGGATTGTAATGTTCCTTTGTCGGTAACAAATACTTACAATGTGAAAACAAAAGGCAACTCAGATATTTGCAAGTATATATAATACATTTTATTTATAATACATTGTCATATTTTTAAAGTTTGTTATTCCTTCTTAATATTATTCATTTGGAGTAAGCTCAGTATACAAAAACAGATTGTGGTTGTAAGCAATATAAGCTAGAATCTGTGGTCTGATTTTGAGTGATCTCTTTATAGAATAGAACAGAAAACAAAATTATTCTGGTAACAAGTCCCTTTAGAATAATATAGATGTACAGAGAAACAGAAATTTTACTTGACCAATATTTCTATTGGAATATACAAATAAATAAAATGTATCATAAGTGGAATGAAGTAGTTGTTTCTATTCACATGAAGATGTAAGTGATCAAACTACAGTTTTGTAAAAACATAGTTTAGGTTTAGTCAGTGCCAAACTGTTTTTTTAAGAGGAATCAAAATTGGTGAGTTTTAAATGTGGATAATAAAGGGGCATGTTAGATTTTAAATGGGGGATGATTCCAGAAAGTGACGGATTTGGCAAATTTGGCATAGGAATGTGCCTAGGTACTATTGTAATACTAAGGAGTAGAGAAATACCTGTGATAGAAGACACAGCAACATCTTGAGGGTCCCATTAACAAATCTTAGAAAGATATTCCAAAATATTTTTATTTTTCTGCGTCACCCACTGAGAATCCCCCCTTCATCACACCGCCATAGTCAAATTGGTTAATTTTTTGGGTCATATCTTTTAACTTACATACATGTTTTTATACCCTAATGTAGTTCATGACTGATTCATGTAAACTTAATTTAAATTGGTTTTATATATTTAATGTGTTTTGTATTGCTTGGGTAGTTTAAAATTTGTTATATAGGATCACAAGTGTCTACTGCATGTAGTGGATGAGGAGGAGTAGATGTACAGGTTTAAGTTGCAGATGACAGAAGCCATGAAATAATAAAATATATTTGTTTTTTTAGGAAGAAGGGAGTCTTTCAAATGAATATACAAAGGAGGATTTATGTAGTTTTATATATCCAACTGAGAGAAATGCTTATTGATATTGAAACCATGTTTTCCAAGTAGTAGCCTGGGATTAAAACCAGAAGTATTAGAATGCAATAAAATATTAGTATCAGATTCATCATTGGCACCTGATTCATTCTGGTTCATCAGTTATGGATTAATCTATGGTGCAAGGGGGCTTGGCAGACAGCACAGGATTTTATTCAAATTTGTGGATCAAGTTTCAGAAGTTAACAAAGTCATTTTTAATAATTACCAAAAAAATAGTGCCAATATATTAGAAGATCTCTCTGATTATAATTACTTTAGAAGTAATTATTTCTGTTAGTAATAAAAACCACATGACTGAACATGATTCTGCTAAGAGAACAATTTGAAATTCAAAGGAAAGTATTGGTCTGCATCAAGGTCTATAAAATTACCAGTTTCGCTCATACAGTGGAGGGATCGAACTGTGACATAAACACTAGACCACTATTAATCCTCCTGCCCTTCTCTGTGAACATTTTAAGATTATTATTTAGCTTTCTATATGAAATCAATATTTAAACTTACAATAACTTATTTATTTACTAATATTAATCAATTAAAAAAAGTGAGAATAAGATTCAGTTGATTTTGTTTATTCTCAATCTATTAAAATGTAATTTAACAATTTGATGTATATATATTTTTTTTCATAAATGCAAAATACGATATACAATAATACAAAATAATAATTATAAAAATAAAATTAATAATAGACCATCTACACATCGCCCTTTAAGCAAATTTTGATCGATAAAAGAGAGATAAACCTATATTTCAGCATATTGGCCTTTCGTTCCTATATGTCTGGCTCCATACGACGTCGCATAGAAAATTTTCGTAATTACTGAATGAATGTATCAATCTATCATCTAGGGCTAGATCTATATACACATTTAAGCCGATACCAGTATTCTAAAAACCGATAAACAAACACTTTTTTTTTATTCTCCTAACCCCAAAATTTGAGCTTTATACCAATATTCTAAAGACTGATATATCAGCCTTACGACCTTATTTTACCCAAGTTCATACTTGGAATATTATTTTTACACTATTATTGATAATATTTTTTTCGATCCATCCCATGGACCGATATATCAGCCTTTTGACCTTATTTTATCGTGATTCATAAAGTTTCAATTGGAATATTATTTATGCTAATTATAAATGGGCCAACTAATCGCCATGGAATCTATATGAACATAAATGTGAATAAAGACCGATATATCGGCCTTAAGATTTAATTTGATCGAAATTGGTAGAGTTTGATAATTTTTATTTTGTGCTCATCTTCTAAATTTTTTTCGGTCCATCACAAGGACCGAAAAATCGGCCTTTTGATCTTATTTTATCATGATTCATGTAGTTTCACGTTGAATATTATTTATACTGATAATAAATGGGCCAGCTAATCGCCATTGAATTAATATAAACATAAGTGTGATTAATGATCTATATTATATTAATATAAATTATAAATATTACTGCACATTTGTTATTATTAATATAAACCTATATTTGCAACAGTATTCACTCCAATGTATGAGAATATTGTTGTATTTACAGGAGTGAATAACAATTCTCATTAGTACTAGATTCATTAGTAGCGAATTTAGGAATTAGATTTGAGGAAAATTATAAAAAAAAAAAAATAAAATAAAATAAAAAAAAATTACTAATGGTAATTACTTTGGAGGAAAATGAAGGGCAAAGAAAGGAAAAGCAGGAACAATTATGCTTTCAGGGATATAATATCTATATATTTTTTCTTGACACATGCTTACATTTTGCAGCTTTATATACGTTATAATTTAAAAATAATGCATATTGAAATTTTTTATGTAATTAGCACAGATTACACACAGAAATAAATATAGATCTAAGAAAAATAGAAATTATTTTTCTATATTAGAGGGCTACGGTACTAAAGCATTATTCCCCAGTAATTGTATTTAAACTAATAATCCAGATAGGATGTGTCGGCTGTCTGTATAAGACGATAAGTGACATGAGTTCATAACTCAGGGGCACATCGTACCTCCACTTAATTTATTTTATTCTGTTTCATTGGCCGTGGAGCGACCCTGGGTAGGTAGACTCTATAAAGTGCGTACTCTTAATTAAGTGGAAAAATCTGGCGGTTGAGCGTGATCTAGGTCAAATCATCTCCTTGCACAACCGTAGACCAAGAAACAGTGCTTTCCCTAAATAGTACTGAACCCAAGACCCTTCATGGTTAGAAGTGTTACAATTATATTTAAATATGAGATAAAGAATATTGTTATATTTACATAAAATGATGGATAAATATTCTTTTTTATTTATAAAATGTTTATTTTCTCTCAAATTTACTAGTCTGAAAACATATATTTGCTATTGTATTCACTTCCGTAAATACGATTATTGTTGTATTTACAGGTGCGGTAAAGAATAATATTGTTATATTCATATGAAAGTTTCACGTGAACATC